TATTAGAATGTATCTAATAGGGCTTACCAGCTGTTCAATTTGAAGAAGTGCTGTTTTCAAATATTTCAAAACTATATCAAAACACCTGCAATAATAGAAACAAAACTAGTGGAAATTTAAAAATTTTATAAGCTCAGGAGAAAAAAAATAAGAATGTTTTTTTTTGTAAATTTTCAAAACATTTGAAAAATTTGAATATTTAAAGAAATCGAAAAATATGATTTATTGAAAATACTGTTTTTTTGAAAACGCGAATTTCTTGATTTTTTTTTAATTTTTAAAAAAATTGAATTTTTTTTTTAAGTTTTTGATACCCACTTATGTCGGTTGGTCCGGTTTGTCACAAATATCTAATCTTTGACCATCAAATAGCATTTTTTCTTTTTTTTTTCTGGGCCTCCAAAACCGTTGGACAAACCTTCGTAAAAATTTAACCAGCTCTTCATTGCGATAATTCAAGTGAAATGCTTTTTTGATCATTAAAATCGGATGTACCGTTCTCTCACCAACTAAGTTGCCATTTTCTGCAATCATTGCTTCGTATCTCCAAATATGATTACAAAAAAATTCCTGTTCAACTTTTGGATGATTACTATAACTTACCGTGCGGGAAGCTAATTAGTTAAAAACTGTTATTTAAGAAAAATATGCAAAATTCTGTTCATTGTAATTCAAGATAGAATCAATATAACAGTTAAGTCTAGAGTTCATAGTAGGTCCTGATAGACTATATTCGTAAATAAATCCCTACGATATATTTATTAGTAACTTTATCTAGCCGTGCGAATTTAATGTATATATTGCCACTATATCTGAATGGTGAACTCAAGATACCGATATTCGCAGACATATATTTAAAGGAAAGTGGAAATCCAGAAGGGGTTATTAGAGACAGAACATGCGAACTAATGATGCACTTGATATTATACTATTATTCCGCAGTTCAGTGGTTTTGTTCTACGAATACATCCATACATTCGTTGTAACTTTACAATCGCCTTCAAGTTTCATGTTCACATCTGATCTGAACTGGTGTGGTGCAATCAGTCCTTACTGTTAATTTCCTCCGATTTTAATCAGTCAGCAGTTTTCAGCACGAGTCTTTATTCTATTCGAATACAAAAGCTGCCTGTACATAGACACACGTTTTTGTTCGCGTACTATCGTCCCTCATTAACGCTCCTAGACTCCGTTTCTCCGTGAAGAGTTCATTTACGCACACAAGCCCCAGTGGTTATTTTTTAGTACTTTTGACGCCAGAGCACGTACTCAATTTGCAATTACCAGCCCCTACGATTTATACAAACCTTATACCATTGCACAGAACAGACAATATAGACAACGCTCGCAAAACAAATATAGGACGAATGCAATCAGAAAAAATGTGCCCGCAAAAATATAAATGATACGCATACTCGTACTTACTTGATATTAATATTCGTATAAAACTTTGTATATATATATATATATATATATATATATATATATATACAAACTTGCACAAGAATAGTACATAGTTGATAATGTAAATGGTTTACATAAAAAGCAATTTTTGAAAAAAATAGAGAAATTTAATATTAATCCTTTCCACTCGGGTGCGGCAAAATACATATAAATTCTGCAGTTTGCGAGTGGAAAGGGTTAAAATCTGAAGATACAACAGTTTCTGATTGGGAACTAAATACTGTCATTCGTTGGACATGCCACATAAGAATATAATTTAAAAATGAATTATCGGATTTTGCTTCGTAATTTAAAAATTGATGGTTCAATGAAAAGCGTAATGGTAACAACATATCGACATATTGAAACTTTAAATAACTGTTCATATTAGGTTAGCACTTGCTGCTCCTTTCAATTATACCAAATTTGCAATCATTTGTTAATGGCAGAACAACGTATGCCGGGTCAGCTAGTATAAATATAAACTTGCTATATTCAAACTATAAAATAAGTTTACATTCTTGAAAAAAAAATAAAAATTCATTACAACTACAGTGCTAGAGCACATTATGTACATTATTTTTATATTTATGATGCCTATGATTCAATTATTAGTATTCACAGATAATTACAAATAATTATATATCGAAAAGTGCTAAGGTGGTCATACGTCCCGGATTTCCACCCTGTGTCTTTGTTTTTCTAAAATAAATATTTGTCTCAGATTGTCCCGGGTTTTCGAAAAGTATAGGTTTATATTGAATCTTTGCAAAATTACAACTACCCAACAAATATCTGAAAATAATGTATACAACGAGTATGCTTATATGAAATAATACTTTATGAATGAGAAAATTGACGATTCCAAAGTTTTGTAATATTAATTATAGTGAGATTCAAATTGAAAACAAGTACATGCTCTTATTATAGAATACGAGTGATAATTAAAAGACTTGTTAAGTAAGACTTGATAAGTAAAAGACATGGAAATTTAGGAACTTGAAAAAGGAGTTGCAATAAACATCTGAGCTTATCACAATGTGTATCTAATCGATAAATAGATCACTTATTTACCTGCTTTGGACTGTTTTTCATATTGATATTTAACAGCAATCAAAACCTTATGCTTTATGACTAGGGCTTACAATACCGGGATTCCGTGATCCCGAATACCGGGATCCGGTACGATTTTAGTCCGGTATTCAATACCGGTATTGATACAAAAATACTGGTATTTCGAGATTGCCAAAATTTTGATAAAAAAAGAAATTACGCAATACACATACACAAGTGTGTATGTGTGCAATGTGTATGTGTATTGCCGATTCGACTCACCCTAGCGGCTATATGGCATATTGGCAAGATAAAGCGATTGTTTATATATTATATACGATAGCTACCTAACGAATAGCACCCATTTATAAAAATTATTATTCGTCCACGTGAATTGTCCTCATATTTTATTCGTTATCAATAATTTTTAAACATAATATACAATCGACACTATATAATTCAGTTCATTAAGTTCTCTATATTGTATATCTTTCCGTCAATCATTCGTATTTGTTTATTATTTTATTATAACGACAATTTACTAATAGTCAAATCATTGAATGATAAATAGTTTGATAATCAATGATAATATTGGTCTCGGTGATGGATGACTTCATTCTTATGCGTACGTTGCAGATTCTTAGGAATTGTTCATATCTAATTAGGATTTGATTTTAAACTAAATACACTATACCAAGTACTAATTCAAATTGATTAATAATGTACTCGTATTATTTCTTTATGACAATTGTGTCAACAAGTGTAGAATGAGAAAGAGCTTTTTCGGCTTATTGCATTTGAACTAAAATTTGGTCCTCGCTTGAAGAAGAAACAATTGTTTATTTTTTAAGAGCATATTTTAATAAACAGAATATAAGCTATTAATTGAATGTTTTGTTTTCCTAAATATGTAATTCCATACGAGCTTATTCCATGTAAAATGTAACATAAAAGCTAAAGTTGCTCTTTTTTGTATCTTTTATTCTCGCTTTGTAATAAAATAAATAATATGTACTCATTTTAGAACAATAATAATGTTAATATGTCAATATAACAACTGCGGTAAATAAAAATATGATTAGTGAATTTTTCATTGACGATGCCGGTATTAATACCGGGATCCCGGTATTACAAATTTCAAATATCGAATACCGGTATACAGATTTTAATACGGTATTGGAAGCCTTACTTATGACCTGTTGGGGGGATAAACTTCTTCTTATGTCACATTTGTTTTAGATGGTATCTCAACGGTTAATCCATTCATACTTCAATATTTTATTATTAAAATTGATCTAATAGGGTTGATATATTATTCAAGTTGATGCAGCAATATCCAGGAAGGTCTAATTTGACTTCGAAAACTTTGTGAGATTTATATTTCCAAGTGAAAATTGATATCGATAAAGAAAAATAAAGAAATATCATAAGGAAATCGAATCCGATAATAAAGGAAAATAAAGAAATATTATAAGGAAATCGAAGACAAGACTTAAGAGTTATATAAAGATAATTTAATATTTATGAAATAGCCAAATGAAATGTATTTATAATATAGGAAAACTGTTTTCATAATCTCTCACACCAGGCACTTCTGTCTGTCTGAGATATAAAAATAATGTATAATATATATATATATATATATATATATATATATATAAATAAATAAAAAAAATCGTTACTACTCGATGGACTAAAATTGAAGACTAAAACATAAATTTGATATAAGAAATGATTCAAGATTCATATTCAAGATAATATTAGCATAACATCAATTTTCCGAGCAGCCACTTTCAATCTTACTAAAAACTTACCACAAAGTAAAACTGACCATTATCATTCGATACTACTAAACATCAAAAATAGAAACCATCCTAAGTACTTAAATTTTCCGGGAGCTCCGGTTATTTTATATAGAAGACTAACACATAAATTTGATAGAATAAATGATTCAAGATTCATAATATTAGCATAATATCAATTTTCCGAGCAGCCACTTTCAATCTTACCACAAAGTAAAACTGACCATTATCATTCGATACTACTAAAGATCAAAAATAGAAACCATCTTATTAGTACTTAAATTTTCCGGGAGCTCCGGTTATTTTATATAAAAGACTAAAACATAAATTTGATAGAATAAATGATTCAAGATTCATAATGTTAGCATAATATCAATTTTCCGAGCAGCCACTTTCAATCTTACCACAAAGTAAAACTGACCATTACCATTCGATACTACTAAACATCAAAAATAGAAACCATCCCAAGTACTTAAATTTTCCGGGAGCTCCGGTTATTTTATATCAATCAATAATAAGAGAAACGATATAGAATTAATAACCATCAATTTTCCGACCAGCTTTTCACATACACGAACACCAAGGAAAATCAAATAGGTGCACGATGTATCTGCGTCTCATTCTAAACGCGAAGCCGACCGAGCTACACCGACCGCTGTGCGATAACTTAAAACGCTCGCCGCTAGTATTTTAGTCAATGCGCGGCTTCTGTACGAGTGGGGTGTTATCAAATTTTTGTACCCGAAAATAATAACGTAAAGGACATTTTTCCAAAATCAAAAAATATTGAAATGACAATATTATAAAATAGTTGTTCTCTGTGTTTACTTCAGTGTTAAGATACATGTGTGTATTAAAAATATAATTTGGTAATCAAAATGTGCATTCTTAAAATGACAGTGTCTTGTATTTATGTTAGTATATCAGTTAAATTCGGATCATGACAGAATGTTTATGTTATGATTCGCTAAGAGTTTGAAGAAGTACTTTCTTGAGAAAAGTGTTTTTTTGTTCGTTGTTGTGGACATATGGTTTGACACAGGTATAAAAAATATTTGGTTTATTTAGTTTCAAACACGTTATTTATAAGTTTTTTTTTAATTTTATATTCTTTTGATTGAAAATCTGGTATTGGTAAGTTAAGATTAAACGAAAATTCAACCAACTAGTTGCCTTAAACAGGCTGCATGAACTTCCCGAAATGTGTAAAAAATAATCAACTTAATCATTAAGAATTGAGACTCAGCTATTTAGGTAAAATGTTCAATAGTTTATTGCGAAAATAAAGGTTTCACTTGCTTTGGAAACTTTCAATTTCTTTGAAACATACTTACAATATCAGTAATTGTATAATTAATTTAATTTGTTTCAACACATTTCATTTCATCCGTTTCATGTTCCTAAAATGTATTTTATTCGAGTGTGGATGTAAACTGTAATCAGTAGTTTTAAGCATTCTTAAATTTCTCTTTTGTTTAGGTTAAAAATCACACTAATTTTTCAATCATATCTATCTGTATGCAAACCGTTTGTACTATTTATTTATTTATTTATTTATTTATACAATTTATATTTATACACAATTGTACTATTTCCAACTAAATCATGTTTTTTTTTCAAGTTCATTTTCTTTGGATACAATTTTCAATTGATATCTTCAAAATATGCACATATTATATGTAATTGGTAAATTGAATCAATTTCTTTAACGCATTTTATTTCATCCACTTCGTGTTCTTAAAATGTATTTTATTCGAGTGTGGATGTAAACTGTAATCAGTAGATTTACACATCCTTCACTTTCTCCTTCGTTTTTAATCATATCTATCTGTATATAAACCGTTGGTACTATTTCCAACTAAATCATGTTTTTTTTTTCAAGTTCATTTTCTTTGGAAACAATTTTCAATTGATATCTTTAAAGTATGCACATAATATATGTAATTGGTTAATTAAATCAATTTCTTTAACTCTTTTCATTCCATCCACTTTGTGTTCTAAAAATGTACTTTATTCGAGTGTGAACGTAAACTGTAATCAATAGCTTCAAACATCCTTCGCTTTCTCTTTCGTTTAAGTTGAAAATCACATTTATTTTTACATCATATCTATCTGTATGCAAACCGAATCATGTTTTTTCCAAGCTTAGTCAATAATATAGAAAAAGGAAATGATATTTTTTGTCTAAAATAAGAAATTTTAAATTTCTCAAATTTCATGTTTTTTTAATCACTATATTAGTTACAACTGCTAAATAATATAACATCTAGTCAAAGTAATGACCAATAACATACATTTAATTCAAAAGAGTACAAAATAAAGGATAGAATTTACATTAAAATGATATCCGTAGTATCTTGATTTAATATAAAATAAAAGCAAATAATAATAGTAATAAAATTAATAAATAAAATTTCTGAATAATAAAAATAATACTAGTAAAACTATCAAGACAATAACGCGACAGATAATAATAAATATAACAAAATAACAATATTAGAAATAATAAAATAATAATAATGAAATAATCATGACATGATTAATGTACCTATTTAATTTAATACAGAACATTATCAATTCCAATTTCTTCTACATATATTCATAAAACAGAGGAATAGTTAGATTAATAAGGGAAGTGTGAAACACAAATAAGGCAAATATTTTTGTTGTTTAAACAACATTTCTTTTATATGTTTATTAATTTCCAATTCATACTATTGTTGGTAAAAACAATGAACTTCCGGATACGTGCAAATATTCGACTTCATCAACAAGAATTTGACGGTTTGTTTCGAAAATAAGAACTATATACAATTGGTATCTTTGAAACATACTTATCTGAAATAATACTTATCTGAAATAATACTTATCTGAAAAATCTATAATATCTGAAATTGTATAAATTATGTAGTATTATAATTAGTTTAGTTTTTCAAACTAATGCATTTTATTTATTTCATCAATTTCAAGTTCAAAAATTATTCTTCGAGTATGGACGTAAGCTGTAATCAGTAGCTACAAACGAACTAAAACTAAAACAATAGATGCCTCGGCTCGGCAAAGAATCGCCTAAACGCGCGGCAAAATTTCTCATTTATACAAGGTTTCATCAGAATAGTCAAACAAAAATTTCAATATTTAATTACGAAGAAACGGCCCGGCATATCTTTCGAACAATTATTAACATCAATTCAAGATTGTGGGCTGATAACTTTTTTTTATTCAACGATATATTTACAACTGTCCTACATAGACATTAAGTAAATTTTTTAGCAATTATATATAAAAAATGACATCGATATATATAAATAGTGAAAAATATACAGTTGGCATTTTTTCTTTATAAGAAATAATGTAATAAGACATGAGTAATTACAAGCTGAAAAAATCACTAATTATTTTTATTTTGAGTGATAATAAAACTTGAACAACATTTTTTACACCTTTTTGCTAATTACAAAGAAATGGCTAGGCTGATCATCCCACAAAACTGACCAACGCTAGTACGTATCGAAATAGTTTGTAAATTTTTTAGACTTTTTTTGAGAAAACGTCGACGAAAGGTCAATAATCATTCGATTCAGAATGGCTTGAAATGTCGAGAAAACACAGAATTAACAAATAGGATTTTTTCAACTTTCTCTTCCAGGAAAATAAAAATCATACTTATTTTTTAAACGTATATCTATCTGTATACAAATTATAGTTATTACTATTTCCTTCCTAACCCTGAATTTTTTATTCAATTTTAAAAAAATAAGTAATTAATATATTTCTTAATTTTTTTTTTTGAAGAAATTGTGAATTTTTAGAAGTCTATAAAAATAAGCAATTTTGTATTTCTTAAATTTTGTTTTATATATGCTAAAATTAATGTATTTAATTTAATACGAAACATTATCAGTGCTAATTACAATTCTATATATAAACAACAGATTAATAGTTGTATAAGTTTGAAAATTAGATTAATTAGGCAAGTGTTAAATACAAATAATGCAAATAGTCAATGTTGTTCAAACAACATTTACTCATTTATCATTTAAAATGTTTATTAATTTCCAATTCATGCTATAGATGATAATACATTTTTCATATTATAATAATCTAATTTTAATGTTGGTTTCAAAAAAGTATGATAATAACTTAAATTAAGTACATTATTTCAACGGTTTTATACAATTAGTTCTGCGTGGTATATTTTTGTCAAAATAATTAATAATTCTATTTCAAATAAAGTTGCTTAAGGTAAACTATAATAAAGTATACTTATTACAATTATTTCATTAGTTCTCCGCGCGAAATATATATTATCATAAGCTGAATAAATATTATCTTACATTTTTGGCTGATAAAAATGATACGTCAAAATGAACACACCTTGTTGATATCTTGGCAAATGATGGCTTCAAAATCGTTTGCATTTTATACTAATTATAAAGAGAAAAACAATATTCTTATCTTTATTATAATATCGCAACATGTTACTAAACATTTTATCAACTTTTTTAACAAATTCATAACATAAAACATTTATTGAATAGATATAACCGTACATGTAGGTATCATGGTATAAGACTTGCATTTGTGCTAAAAATAGTATGATTGATCGGATATATAAAGAATTGTATTTCGAATTTCTCTAAAATTATTTATAGCTTCAAGCAACTTGATTATCACGATTAACAGCAGTTATTCTAAATTCTTGAAAATGAACGAAATTATAAAATATTGATTTTATAGGTACATCATTTTCGCAATTACTTTCTTTTTTGAAAAATAATTATGTATGTTATTGTTCAAAGTTCAGTAAGTTGTATTACAAAATTTTTTCCAGATAAATTCATTTTGTTATTATATATTTTATTATATTACCACTAATTTTATAACAACGACTATTAAAATTATAAAAACAATAGCATTAATCATATTCGCATAACAAAAAGTAATAATATTAGTCATCATATTAAAATGTTTACCGCTAAAATTATCCACTTTTATTCATACAGCAGTTGTAATTAATCGGACAATATGGAATAATGGTAATGCAGATAAAATGTTTTTACGAGCTGATAAATATTTATAATAATCGAAATTATCCTTGTTTATGTCAATTGAATTTGCAATTATTATACAAATGGAATTATGCTAGCACAATTCAAATGTGATGTTATTTATACAGAATACGGAAGAGAATGAATTTGAAGTCGAATAAATATCTTATTGAATAGACTATGCTGAATAACATCAATACACATCAAATCAATCCATCAGATGAGTTATAAAAGCAAAGCAAAACTTATAACAAAAGCTGAAAATACAGTTTTTGGGTTATATATTAATAATAGCAATATACAGAATATTATACTCATAAAGAAATATTGTCGTTAAAAATGTTCATGATATTTTTTCTTATCAAATCAATTATCAGAACTAACGCACTAATTACTGATGCTTTTTTATCCATTTTACATTGCCATTTGTTTTTCAAGTTAATTCTTAGCTAGTTATAAATTTATGATTAAATTGTTAATAAGTATTTGTATTAATAATTAGAAGGTTCGTCGAAAATAGATTTTTTTCTACATAGAAAGGTATATCACTAGGTAACCTTTCTAAATAATAAAATATCATTTACTTTTTTGCAAAATCATTGAAGTAAACCAATAAACCAAAAATTCAAATCAATGAACCAAATTCAATGTTGGATTAATTGCATAATCATTTTTGTCAATCAGGTTTTTCATTTTTTTTTTTTTTTTTTTTTTTTTTTAAATTTTTAAATTTTTATTTGGCCTCGCTTACTCTGAGCATTTAGCCACCTACAACATTTTTATTTATTTACATTCTATTTTTTTATATCAATTTCAATCTATTTATGTATCCTATTCTAAATTCTTATTAATTTTTCTTCTTATTTTCTTCAATTCTTCCTTCTTCTTATTTTCTTCAATTCTTCCATCTTCTTTCAAGCTCCAATACTTCTCTTCTTACTTCTAATTCAATTCAACTATTCGAATTCTGTTAATCCTAATTTTCTTAATT